CGTTCCTATTATCAAAATTTAATAGATTACCGTATTGAACATTTAAAAGCCTTAAGTCCAAACATTGCCTCTTATTCGTAATTGCACGTAAGACTTGTAGGTTTCATTAGGATCACTATCATCGCCTAATCTTATCACTGATTCTATCAATCAGTCTCTTAGGATTCATCCTTTTTGCTACTGTAGTGTGATGACAACCGAATGGATGTTTGTTGTGTCTACTCTCCTGTGACTAGCTTGTCCTCTAAAAGGCTGTTATATACTGTGGGTAACTTACGAAATGCAAGGTTTTCTCAGGTTTTATGTGATGCACATTTCAAGGATCGACGACGCTCGTTGGTTTGCTTTAATGTGCGATAGTGATATCAAATGGTCAAGTTTATTCACACGAACTATGGCCGCTTTGATACAGTTTTGTGGTTCGAGTAAGTCGTAGTTACCTTTCAGAATGGAAATAAAAATACCGACCCAGAATTGCTTGTATGGGCCTTGTCCTAACATATACATTTCCGTTAAGAAAAGCAAACAGTTGCTGTATCCGTAGTTCATCCATAAGTTTGCTCTCAAAAATCGTTGGCAAATATTTTACAAACTTGAGTATCCATTATCGTATTGTTAGTAATTTTCTTTTTATATGATGCACATTTCAAGGACCGATGATGCTGTCATCGGTTTAGTTCGATGTGCAATAATAAAGTCAAATAATCAAAGTTCACTTACGTGAACTATGGCCATTTTGATACAAGCTTACCTTTCTAAACTATTATTCGTAGTTAATGTATTTGTTCGGTGCAAGTTCACTAGCTTTTTAGACAGTAATTCTTGGGTGATAATATACATTACTTCGGTGTATACTTTTTTCATTCATGAACAAAGTACTAAGCATATACACCCAATATCCGTTTTATAGTCACTTTATTATTGACAATTTGAGTTTGTGACTCGTTTTATGTCTAATCCATGACTTTTGACAAATATTTTGTAGCAAATCAGGTATTTTATATGCAAAAGCTAATTTTTGTCATCTAAGTAGACTAGCCATAGACTTGATAGTACCAATGCTTACTTTAGTAAATGGGTGAGATGTCGTAAGGGTTGCTGGTTGTGACGTTTTACTATTTCGTTTTCCAGCTGCGATCTACACTTGTGTACAAATTTGGTCATATCGAGCTACCCAACTGAAATACTTGGGCCAATCTGCTAAGTCGTCTTCCAATTCAGTTACCTTAGTACTAGGACACATCTGATTGTGTACTTCCCAACTCTTCCATAACAATATCACCGTAACTGATAAATATGTCATGACCTACACCTTAGTCTCAAAAAACATTCAAGTCAAACTCTTACGTATTCTTGTCAAACTTATGACAGTTGTATGATCAAAAACCTCGAATTTTTTATACCATTGTATCCCGAATCCTACCCAAATCATTAGGATCTTAAGTTTATGTTAACATAAATCTTATTATTTGTCTTGATGTATTTGTATCTAAATCAATAGATAGCCGTGTCACGTAACTGGGGATTCACAAAATGGCCTAGAACTAGTTTTAACGAAATGCGTGCCAAAGGACAACTAGTTTCGGACGGTGTCGGTGTGAAGTACCTTCCTCCTCATGGCCCCTTAGAACAATGGAAACAAACGCAGGCACGTCTAGCTGGAATCACTGTATAAAAATAAGACTACAATACATATTTGGTAATAATTCTTGAAATTTTCACTCTTTCGACTGTGTGATTGATTTATTAGTCTGTTAGTTCCACTCAATGCGATCATATGAAAAGCAAAATTATACATCTGAACATCATAACATTAGGTTATGAATTTTATTTGGACACATATATTGATACAAAGAAACACTGAATACATTGCGCCACACAAGTCACATAGTTTGTGTGTGGGCTGTGATACTCCATGGGTGCCGAAACCGAAGCAGGTGGTTTTCTTAATGGGTCACAGACTGAGCCTTCGGTTTGAAGGTCTAATCCACAAGACTGTAGCAATGTCAGGGGATGCAGTCCCATGATAGCCGGTTACCAATAATTGGTCCATACGTCATTTGTTCCCTCACAATTCTGGAGCTCATATTCATCGTTGGTGGTGACATCGATGGGAAGGTCTGTAGGTGCCGCATAGATGTCCGGCGGACTTACTGAAGCTGGTCTATTCGGTTCTTCAAAAAATCATGCCCACCTATTCCTCTGTTCTTGTATCTTGGCGATTGTCTTGATTTCTTTGCTCTTGACTGGTCTCCCTGGTTTGCTATATCTCCCGACCAGTTTTCTTGTTATATCGTGTAGTTGCTTCATATTTTCTCTCGTGCGGCTTCTTTCGCTTTCGTTTCTAGCTCTTTCAAGTATCTCTAATTGTCAGCTCTAATGCTTTGATTCACTCGCTTGTTTGCTGAGCTGTATTCATTTTTCACCTTGACTTTTTCTGTTCTTGTTCGACTGTTAAGTTCTGTCTCATTGTCCTCCCCTTGCTAAATCCTGTACGGGGTTTCGACGAAAACCCATCCCTTGTGGTGGTGTTTCTTGAGGCACAGGACCTCCTGACATGTTGAAGTCACTGCTTCTCTGATCCTTTTTCAGTAGTTATCCATGATAGGTTCTTTTTATTTAACAGATCTTATGAGGCCTGGAGCCTATCACTAAGAACAGTCTCCAATTCGCTGAGTTTGTCAGTTTCTCTAAGGAAGGCTATATCAAACCTTTGGAATGATGTTTTCCCGGGTAGTTCTGTGTATGAATTTCAGGCGGAATATGGTGCAACTATAACTATATTATTTAAGGCACGTTAATGTAATGATCTCCGACTATTTTTGTTCCTTTCTCCCAGTACATGTCGTCCCATGATATCTTCATACCCGATGTTGTTCAGTCCGACTTTGACATTCCCTACGATCGACTGCAGTCCCCATCGAACTGATCAATATTGTCTTCTTCGCTATCATCGGTGGATAAATGACACCGGATAACGTTCGTTATGATTCCCTCTTTCCACATTTTGAAAGAAGCATTGACGATTTTAGATCCATGAGTTTCTCGTCCTGTGAGTGACCTTGTTTCTACTTCGGAGAGCATCAGAGAACCTCTCTGCATATGTGGAGCATTTTATTCTTCGTGACCAGACTACACCAGAATCTCCCCCTAATCCAAGCTGTTCTAAACAGCTTAGTTCCAGTGGATTTAATTAATTGTGAGAACAGTCGATTTTTATCTCCTCATTTCTGTAGCTACTTGATTAGTCATTCTATTTACTTACATGGATTGTTACTCCGGTTGTCAGAAGGGGCGTGGGCCTCATGACTTCCAAAGAATTTCGGCTTTCAGCTCGAGGTGTCATAGACCCTCCAACTCTCATGACGCCGTTTGAATTTTATTCTGGTTAACGTTTTTTAGTGTTATAACTTGTGGCCTTATGCCCTGTTAATATATGACGCAATGATACCGCCAATTAGAGAACAGTGAATTATCGATCGGACCAATGACGCATGAAACACGTAAGAGCAGTTCAGAGTCTTTATCGGTCCTGCTTTCTGTCTAGCCCTGCCTGTTAAGTCCAAAACACCAATTTCAGCATCTGAGATATGAATCATTTGTTTCAAACAGACTGGATTTATATACAAATCAAACCGAACACATCGCACGATAAAACAAGAAATACACACTTGTACAATATCTAGCCAAAAGTGGCTCAAGAGTTACCATTCATAATTCTCGTCGGCAAATAACATTTAGCAAGTTTGTTTTCCACGTGACGGGATTGATGACCCCATGCCCAACACTCCTCCTTTACTCGGGTTTTGGACCAAAAGTAACCCTAGAAGAACTACAGGAGGAGTTACGAATGTATTCGAGGAACATATACTTCGGAAATTCGGTATTGCAGACGAACAATAGGAGAAGCGCAGGAATAGCCAACTTGATTTGATAAAGCGCTGCTCACTATTTGTAGTTAGAAAAGTAAGCCAAAGACGAAACGAACAATGGAATGAACGCACATACGGTCGTATGACCACATTAAAGGCTGTAAGAGAATAATGGACATGGTTGAACTTGGTGTGGATGACTCAAAAAGAGAGAATTAATCCGTCAGTTCAAGGGCCAGAATAACCTTTATAGATGTGACAGTACATTAGGCCACAGAGTTTTTACAATGATCCCTGACGTCCATCGAAATTACTGTCACTAGCTCTTGAAATAATATACATGTAATAAAACCAATGACACCAGAAGATCATGAAGAAAGTTCGCCCTCGGAAAGTTCGTTGAGACTTGAGATTTTCATAGTCCACAACAAAAAGTCCTTTTGGTCCCGGGAAAATACATACCCACACCAGGACGCTGAAGCTTGAGCCAAGAACCGTTTCATAATATGAACTTCGATGAACTCAGCGTACAAGAGGTCAAACTGAATAGACATATGATCCTGGAATCAAAATGATCATAAGGTCTTTGTTCCAACACTACTGTATGTTTCTGGGTCATGATCGATATGCTTCAAAACATCGGGTAGTTTCGAAGTTGTCGCGAAAGTGTAGTAACCAATGAAGGCTATGCTGTTCGTTGACTCAGCAACGTTGAGACAAGGCTTTTAGCCACATGTATACAAACATATCACTGTGTGGTTTGATTAGGGATACTGTCGGGTTTCATAAAATTTCAGGATCGCCGTCCGTTATTCAGAAACCGGATTTATACGAGCCCTAAACTCAACGTAACCGTAAGTTTTTTGAGGTATGAAAGCTTGTCATAATATGTTAGACCATGAAAACTGTAGAAAGAAACTCCAAAAGTCACATCTGAATGAGGAGAGAGAGAGAGCGGTTAACAACTGGAATGTGCTGTGACAAGTGATATCAACTCAGTCTGTGCACGCTTTCAAAGCAAAATACGATCTTCACTTGAAAAATGCTTCGTATATTAAAATAATCCAATCGACCTATTGTCTTCATTAACGAAGACTGTATATTGAATGTTGTCTTTATGCATTATTCAGCTATTGTGCATTGAACCTTGTTTAGGTTTGCATTTGCGTGACTTCAGTCGTGAGTGTCGATATGGGCCGGAGACCTGCTAGATGGTATGTAGTTTCCTTTACTGGTTACATTTAGTAGTTATCGATATTGCAAAAATAAACCTTATCCTAAGTCAAGATTTTGTCGTGGTGTCCCAGACCCAAAGATTCGAATCTTTGATCTGGGTAAGAAAAAAGCAGACGTTGAAGAATTTCCTCTATGTGTTCATATGATATCAGATGAATACGAACAGCTGTCCAGTGAAGCATTAGAAGCTGCTCGTATTTGTGCAAACAAATATCTGTTGAAGCATTGTGGGAAAGATTCATTCCATGGTCGGATACGCGTTCATCCATTTCATGTGATCCGCATCAATAAAATGCTTTCGTGTGCTGGGGCTGATCGGTACTCACTCCTTCATCCCTAACATTTGTGCTTAGTTTGCAAACAGGTATGAGAGGTGCATTCGGAAAACCCCAGGGGACAGTTGCACGCGTTGATATTGGACAAGTTATAATGTCAGTTCGTGCTCGTGATCAACATCAAGCTCAAGTTGTTGAAGCTCTCAGACGTGCCAAAATGAAATTCCCAGGTCGGCAAAAAGTAAGTATTTGAATACTGAGTGTGTAGATTTATTGTGAACATTCGACATTAAATGACGACTGTCGATTCTTTCAATACGTTCCTATTATCAAAATTTAATAGATTACCGTATTGAACATTTAAAAGCCTTAAGTCCAAACATTGCCTCTTATTCGTAATTGCACGTAAGACTTGTAGGTTTCATTAGGATCACTATCATCGCCTAATCTTATCACTGATTCTATCAATCAGTCTCTTAGGATTCATCCTTTTTGCTACTGTAGTGTGATGACAACCGAATGGATGTTTGTTGTGTCTACTCTCCTGTGACTAGCTTGTCCTCTAAAAGGCTGTTATATACTGTGGGTAACTTACGAAATGCAAGGTTTTCTCAGGTTTTATGTGATGCACATTTCAAGGATCGACGACGCTCGTTGGTTTGCTTTAATGTGCGATAGTGATATCAAATGGTCAAGTTTATTCACACGAACTATGGCCGCTTTGATACAGTTTTGTGGTTCGAGTAAGTCGTAGTTACCTTTCAGAATGGAAATAAAAATACCGACCCAGAATTGCTTGTATGGGCCTTGTCCTAACATATACATTTCCGTTAAGAAAAGCAAACAGTTGCTGTATCCGTAGTTCATCCATAAGTTTGCTCTCAAAAATCGTTGGCAAATATTTTACAAACTTGAGTATCCATTATCGTATTGTTAGTAATTTTCTTTTTATATGATGCACATTTCAAGGACCGATGATGCTGTCATCGGTTTAGTTCGATGTGCAATAATAAAGTCAAATAATCAAAGTTCACTTACGTGAACTATGGCCATTTTGATACAAGCTTACCTTTCTAAACTATTATTCGTAGTTAATGTATTTGTTCGGTGCAAGTTCACTAGCTTTTTAGACAGTAATTCTTGGGTGATAATATACATTACTTCGGTGTATACTTTTTTCATTCATGAACAAAGTACTAAGCATATACACCCAATATCCGTTTTATAGTCACTTTATTATTGACAATTTGAGTTTGTGACTCGTTTTATGTCTAATCCATGACTTTTGACAAATATTTTGTAGCAAATCAGGTATTTTATATGCAAAAGCTAATTTTTGTCATCTAAGTAGACTAGCCATAGACTTGATAGTACCAATGCTTACTTTAGTAAATGGGTGAGATGTCGTAAGGGTTGCTGGTTGTGACGTTTTACTATTTCGTTTTCCAGCTGCGATCTACACTTGTGTACAAATTTGGTCATATCGAGCTACCCAACTGAAATACTTGGGCCAATCTGCTAAGTCGTCTTCCAATTCAGTTACCTTAGTACTAGGACACATCTGATTGTGTACTTCCCAACTCTTCCATAACAATATCACCGTAACTGATAAATATGTCATGACCTACACCTTAGTCTCAAAAAACATTCAAGTCAAACTCTTACGTATTCTTGTCAAACTTATGACAGTTGTATGATCAAAAACCTCGAATTTTTTATACCATTGTATCCCGAATCCTACCCAAATCATTAGGATCTTAAGTTTATGTTAACATAAATCTTATTATTTGTCTTGATGTATTTGTATCTAAATCAATAGATAGCCGTGTCACGTAACTGGGGATTCACAAAATGGCCTAGAACTAGTTTTAACGAAATGCGTGCCAAAGGACAACTAGTTTCGGACGGTGTTGGTGTGAAGTACCTTCCTCCTCATGGCCCCTTAGAACAATGGAAACAAACGCAGGCACGTCTAGCTGGAATCACTGTATAAAAATAAGACTACAATACATATTTGGTAATAATTCTTGAAATTTTCACTCTTTCGACTGTGTGATTGATTTATTAGTCTGTTAGTTCCACTCAA